AAAACTTCCTTTTCTCCATTTTCGAAGATAGTGATATTTGATCTGACCTGGTTATATGGCATTTTATTAGTTCTCCAGTATTTTTCAGAGATAATACATGGAGTTTCAGTAACTCCATAACTCCATAACTCACATTCCTTCAGTACAGTAGAATATAATTCATCTTGCCCTGGTCACTTATTCATTTAAAGACACTATATATTATCTAATCATGTATCTATAAATTAAACTTGTATCTTACTGGGGTTTTATAAATTGGATTTCCGAATTAGTCTTGTAGAAAGGAATTCTCTTGCCGATTGTAGCACAGTAGCATAGCATTACACAAAATTATATTTGGGATTGGGATTTTGGAATATATTATATTGCTTCATGAGTTTTTATCACAAGTTAGCCAACCAGAGAAGTAGTAACTTGTAAGAGCTTTCTGATTTTATACCTGTATTACATCCTAAAGCAGAGTTGAACGAATGCCCACACTTTAGAAAAAAAGCACTAGTTCCATGCCAGTTTGATTTTTTTTAGGATTAAAAACTATACAGTGAATATGATAACTTGAAGTGGTATAAACTTCACTAAGCTGTGTTGATCTTGCACATCCAGAAGTTATTGTTTAATATCAATCCACTTTGCTGCATAATGCCTCTGAGACCACAGAACAGGCATGGAGGCATTAGAAAAACCAGGTAGAAGTAGGTTGATGCTATCAGCAGCATCTTAATGGCTACCATGCTTGGAAACCAAGAATCAGTTGGAATCTAGATCTACACTGCAAAAAGGGAAAGGAAGCTAAAGATAACTATTTCGAAAGAAAAGAAAGAAAGAAAGACATTCTCTCTCTCTCTCTCTCTCTCTCTCTCTCTCTCTCTCTCTCTCTCTCTCTCTGTGTGTGTGTGTATTCTATTCTTAGGACATTTCTAAATAAGCATGTGGGGCCATTTCAGTGTTGATATGGAAAAAAATATAGAAGGGAAATTGTCCCCAAAATTTGTGTCAAACAGTAAAACTATCTTTCAGAAGTAAAAGCATTCCTGGATCAGTTTTTGTTTTGACATCTGTTGATATACTGCTTTGAATTCTATGCTTAGATATAAATGTAAAATAAGCAAGTTATGCTCCTGTTGGAAAAGAAAACAGTAATATCCATTCTGTTAGAGCCAGAATCAATGCTTGGCATTAATGGACTTCTGATTTTATTGCCAGCCTTTTTTGTTGGTGCCTCCCATAAACCAGTGGAGAGTTATAGGATTCAATCTCTGAAGCTCTTTATCTATTTATTGACTAATCAAATTTCTATAGATGCACATCTCACCAAAGGCAATTCTATGATGTAGTAGTAAGACAAGCAAGTAGGATAGAAGATACACCAACAGAAGATCCATTACAGGTAATCCACACTTAATGACTATCACTTCGTGACTGTTCAAAGTTATGGAGCCCAAAACCCAGTAATACCCCACTTTCATCACAGTTGTTAACCAACTCACCTGTGGTCATTAAGCAAGATATCACATGACCATGACTTGTCATTTTACTGTTGTTTACTCCACTGACTTTGCTGTTTATTCAAATAGCGATCACAAATGTGCAAAAGGCAATCACACAACCGCAGGATGCTGGGGTGATTGTAATGGCCTGTGGATTGTGAACCACCCAAATCTCCATCACATGAGTGCAAGGACACTGTAATGGCTGTAAGTCGACAACAAGTCTTAAGGTTACTTTCTCAGTACCATAACTCTGAATGGTCACTAAATAGGGCCATCATTAAAAGAGGACTAATTGTATAAAAATAAATCCATTAATTATCCAATTTATTGTCCAGTGAAAACTAGTGGCCGAAGAAAACTCAACTAGTTGTCCCCTGGCCATCTTTGGCCCACTAGTTTTCACTGGAGAATAAATTGGATTGTGTGACTATATGATTCTCTTGCTCAACTTTCACCAGAAATCATTCACATAAAGTTCAGTGAGAATACAGAAATGTACATTCAAGTGAATATCTGTGGTCAAAGGAGGAAATACCAAGGAGAATGATAAGAGAAGGGGGGGATGCTTTGCTAACTAGATTCAGGGATTTCCAAAAGGTATCTTTGTTATCACCTGTGGTTTGTACATTTGCATATATACAAGATGTTTGGCATAAAGATGCAGTCCTAGACTTTTTGTCTCAAAAGGGTCAGGTTGCAGGTGATAGGAAGAATCTCTGCTGATGCAACTGGACAGCCACACTGTTCCTCAAAGCAGAAATGTGGTCCTAGGGGAGAAATCATCTAATCTGTTACAGCACAACTGACTGTGTTCCCTAGCTGTTCATAGATTCCAGCCCTTCTAGCAACCTCTCTTCTTCAAAGCCCAGAAGCATGCCTCAAACATAATGATTCCACCATCCTAATAACTCTGCATCTATTGATGTGCATATGTTTCTAAAAGAAACTCAGTGGTGAAGGGTCATTTTTTTCCACTTGTCAAATTCTTTAGTTGCTTCAATCCAAAATGCAATTGGATTGTGAAGATGAACTCAAGGCTTTTCTTCCTATAGTCAGAGGACTCAATAAAGTACAGATAGTGTACTTAATACATCAGTTCTTTCATCAGGTTGAGGCATTTATCTCAAGACCAACATACTTTCTTCCATTATAAGGCTTTTACAATTTCACAATTATATTGTAAGTTCAGTCACCTGTATTCTGCAAAGTATATCCTGGAAACAAGATGCGGAGTTTTTTTTTTTTAAGAGCTTCATATTGCTAGATTTTATTTTCATATACTACTCTTGGAGTTGCTCATAGACTCTCATACTAAATTCAGAATGTCTGTCTAATATTATTTATGATGTGAAAGAGAAGGGCAAGGAAAAAAGAATAAATTATGCAACTGGTTTGAAAACCACAAAGGTGCTTCCAATGCAAATGACTTGGCATACAATATTAATTTATTTGAAGAGTTCCCATAGATGATTCCAGGATTAAAATAATACAAGTACTTACCAGTAGAAAAACATAGCTTTGAATTCCATTTGTCTTACAACTGATTTAACACAATCATTAGAGAAACACCTATTTGGTGAAAAAGAATATAAGAATATAAAGAATGACTAAATGAAAACAGTCCTCGAAGATTGCCAAGGACAGACCAATAGCTGAAGTTAAGAATTTAAGATTTCTACCAGTGAAGATTCACTAAGACTACTACTCCAGAGGCTGGCTGAACCTATGAACCTAAAATACTACAACTATTGCGATCTGCAAATGTGAAAAGTTTCCTCAGGCATCAAATATAGATGGGGCATACAATAAATCCCAATTAGAACTAACTGAATCAATTTTGAACTCCTAAAATATTGACCATAGAGTAGTTCAATGCTCAGCATGTATTATGCCACCAACAAATGCCCACTCAGCTTTGAAAGCCTTTGTAAGTCATCATCTCATTGCTCCTATCAATATCGCATCACATTCACATCACTGGACTCTCCCCTCTTTAATTTTTAGAGTGAGATTGTCCTGAAAATTTCGAGACAACTCTAAGATCTTTAAAAAAAAGAATGTGGACCTCCTTCCAGAGGGTATGGTGTAAACCTTGTCTACTACTACTGACCCCCTCACCACTCCCTCCCAATTCTCAAGCCCTCAGGACCTGCTGCAGCCTCACAAACTGAGCTCAATACATCACTTTATCTGCCAGCATGGAAAAAGCAGGGCAGGAAACCATGCTAGGTTGACAGCAGGCAGACTCTTGTTCCTCAGCAGGACAGGTTCTGAGGTTGCCACCTGCAAAAACCTCCTAGATTGACAAGAATGACCCAGTATTTCCTATGGTAGGAAAAAGGCAGCAATACAATTTTTCTTCACACATGCAACTTCCCACCCCAACATGGCTGTGCTTCTTGTGAGATGCTTCAAGCAGCTGCAGAATAGGTTTGCAGTAAAACCAAGCCGACACTCTGTCTTCACAGCAATCTCAGTCTAGCTAATATTAATTAGTCACCTTAGTGGCAGCAAACCATCTGCTCTGCTTCTCCAGTAGTATGTTAGCATTTGCTTTCTGCTTTCATGGTTCTTGAGCCATATTCAGGCACTAGTAACATAGCGACAATCTGAGCCATGCTAAAAATACTAATACACTTGCTAAAATAAAACAAGCTGGAACATGGAGTATTGCAGTCTCCATAATATACACCAATAGCATTTAAAGAGGCGTCCAAATATGGCTTCAAGCAACATTGCATATTAGAAATCAATGGTTACATCTAGGAATAAACACACACACACATGCACACACACACATTCTCTCTCTCATATAGAGGCACATATGAATATCTCTGTGCATTTGTGTATGTGTATATATATATATATATATATATATATATATATAGAGAGAGAGAGAGAGAGAGAGAGAGAGAGAGAGAGAGAGAGAGAGAGAGAGAGAGAGAAAGAGATATGTCTTTAAATGTAGTAACATACAAGATTGTATTGTATTGAACCTTTATTGTAGCTTTACCCATAAGTGACTGCTGGATGTGTAAATGTATAGACAGCAGTCTTTGCTACACACTTGCATGGCTTTCCCTGCTGCATGAGGTTCAGCCGCATACATCAGAGCCACCACATTAGGTAGCTGCTCCAGCAGTTCTCCAGGTATTCACAGTAAAATGCACAAACACACCCACTGCAAATGATTCCTCAACGAACAGCATTTAAATGCACCAACAAAGTAAAAAAGAAATACACCTTCCTTTCAATAATCCAGCATTATTGAAAGATTTAAGCTCCTATAAATAAAGACAAATCAAGATAATATTTAAGAATAGCCAGTTCTTTTTTTCCACAGTTAGAGAAAATATTGTTCCCTCCATAGTTTCTGGGTCCATCAGAAATACAAGTATATTTCCCATCGCAACCTGCATTTTCAGTAACCATGCACACACGCCGAACAGCACTGCATATGATACAGCCTCTCCACCCATGCTCTCCCCATGCTAGCACCATTTTGCTGACCTGTGTGTCAAAGCCATTCTCAATGGAGCTACTCTTCTTCCGAAGGAAGCCATCGCCTGCGTTCTCGTGACCATTCTGGGATTTGAAGGGGATCTGGCTGGCATAGGATGACTTGTTCACCTCCACCTTGTTCCCAAACTTCAGGTAACAGGGCTGTGGGACGGTTCTGGCAGCTGGGATGTGAACAATGGGACTAGCACTATGGACAGGTTTAGGTAGTCCGGATTTCATTTTGGAGGCTACCAGGATGGCTGGCATTTTTTCTCCTTCTGCTTTGTCAATGCGTCTCTGTCACAACAGCAGCAAGCAAGGAAGAGGATGAAGATAGGTTTTACACTCGGGCTGGCTAGCTTCTTCTCCCCCCCTCTCCCCTCCCCACCCCCACCCCCAAAAAACCAAGCAGTGGAAAAAGAAAGAGAATGGGAAATCTCTCCTTCAAACACAACTTCTCAGGAGCTTGTCTCTGCCTTTCCACCTGTTTCCTTGGGCTGGTGTAGCTGCTCCCTCAGTTCTCAGCCAGTGTCCTTTTCCCCCTCCTTCTCCACTTCTTCTGCGGATGTTTAACTTGCTGGTTCTTTTCAGCAGCCACTTTATTAATATTATTATTAATATTAATATTATTATTTTTTCGCTCCCTTCTTTCCTTGAAGATGGGAGACCTTAACTGGCTGGAAGCAGCCCCTGGCTGCCTTGCCTTGAAGGAACCTGCTGCAACATATGTTTCGGGTGGCTTGGCTGGGTGGTGCGCGCCCGCCCCAGCCTAGCAGACAGGATCGCCAGACTTAATACGACTGTCTGTCTATCTGTCTGTCTTCAGCCTTAGCCCAGAGACAGACGTAGCAGTGGAGGACGGCCTTGGATACCAGCCTGAGAGAACCCGAGTTTCTTAATCTTAGGATCGGTGCATGACAGCAACGGCGCCGAAGCAGAGAAAGAGAGAGGGAGAGAGAGATCTGCCCGCGGATGACATTTAAATCGTTAAGGCTGCTGGTGGCAACGGCATTTCCCGAGCCGGCGATGCTGCTGTTCCAGCTGTTGCTGCTGCGCGTCAAAAAGCCTTAAGAACGGAGAATGCGCTGGCTTGTCCGTCTCATTTTTTGACCCTGGCGCTGGAGAGCCGAGCGGCAAACCCACCCAAGGCGTGCGGTCCGGGTGCGAAAAAAGCGCAAAGGGGCGCGTGAGTCGAGGCAGCCGGCGGCGTGGACGGCGCCAGAAGAAGGGGCAGCCCAGATGAGAAGGAGCGGGAGAAGGCTGCGATCTGACAGCACCGGGCAAAAAAAAAAAAAAAGCCTGCGTGGCTTCCGATTGGTCCTCCCCGGCTCAAATCAGAAACAAAACAGCTCTGCAAAAGGGGCGGCGCTTCAACTCCAACGACGGGCATGGAACATTTTTTTTGCTTTTTTTTTTTTGCCTCCGATCTGCGCTTTGCGCTCTGCGGCAGCGCAGAGTCGGATCCGCCGAAGCGAAGTGGAAAAGGAGGCGCGGGGAGCTTATCCAAGCGAGGCTCCGCACGGAGGGCGGTAGAGGGGCAGCCGCCGCCGCTGCCGCGAAGCGGAAATTCCTCACCATCGGTCCTGTCGTCTGTTTGTTGCTCGAAAGGAAGGCACTTTCGAATCAAAACACATGAGGGTGAATCATGGTTCCGTCCTCACTGGCGAGTCATAGGGGAAAACTTCCAATGAAGATGCCAACGGCCCCAGCCTGTGAGTAAGGGCTGAGCAATTTAACCCAATCAAGCCGGAAATGAAAAAGAGCCCTGTTCTCCTTACCTAAAATTGGTGTTTCTAACTTCGAAAGGCTGCTTTGGTTATTCAATAAGGCCACAGCTTAAAGGGGTTATTTTCACTTCGACTTAGAGTAACTTTATTGCCACTTTGAATGTACACTAATCGGCATAAGTTGAAATGAATTGTCATTGCACACAGTTCTCAAAAGGTTCCCCACCTCCAATATAGCAACAGCAGCAACAGCACTTAGACATATACCACTTCACAGTGCTTTACAGCCCCTCTCTAAGTGGTTTACAGAGTCAGCATATAGCCCCCAACAATCCCGATCCTCATTTTACCAACCTTGGAAGGATGGAAAGCTGAGTCAACCTTGAGCCTGGTGAGATTCGAACTGCCAAATTGCAGGCAGCCAGTGGTCAGCAGATAACAGATAACCAGAGTTGAAAGGGACCTTGTAGTCCAATCCCCACACCCAAGCGGGAGACCCTACACCATTTCTGACAAATGGCAATCTCCAATCTCTTCTTGAAAGTCTCAAGTGATGGTGCTCCCACAACTTCCAAGGGCAAGCTGTTTCACTGGTTGATTGTTCTCGCTGTCAGAAAGTTTCTCCTTATTTCCAGGTTAAATCTCTCCTTGTTCAACTTCCATCCATTATTCCTTGTCTGGCCTACAGGTGCTTTAGAAAATAGCTTGACCTCTTCCTCCCTGTGGCAGCCCCTCAGATATTGGAAGACCTCTATCATGTCTCCCCTGGTCCTTCTCTTTACTAGACTAGCCAAACTCAGTTCCTGCAACCATTTGTTGTATGTTTTAACTTCCAGTCCCCTAATCATCCTCGTTGCTCTTCTCTGTACTTTTTCTAGAGTCTCAACATCTTTTTTATAACGTGGTGAACAAAACTGTATGCAGTACTCTAGGTGTAGTCTTACTAAGGCTTTATAGAGTGGTATTAGTACTTCTCTTGATTTTGATTGCATCCCTCTGTTAATACAATTTGGGGTTGCATTAGCTTTTTTGGCTGCTGCTGCACACTGCTGGCTCATATTTAGCTGGTTGTCCACTAAGACTCCAAGATCCCTCTCTGTTACTGCTATTGAGTCTGGTTTCACCCAGTCTATATGTGTACTTTTGGTTTTTCTTGCCTAAGTGTAGGACTTTACTTTTCTCTACATTGAATTTCATTTTGTTAGATACGGCCCAGAGTTCTAGTCTGTCAAGATCCATCTGCATCTTGAGCCTGTCTTCTTGGGTGTTGGCTGTTCCTGCCAGCTTAGTATCATCTGCAAATTTGATGAGTTCCTCTTCTATTTCCTCATCTAAATCATTAATGAAGATATTGAAGAGTACCGGGCCTCAGACAGAACCTTGTGGCACCCCACTGCTTACTTCCCTCCATGTAGACTTAGATCCATTAAGGACTACTCGTTGAGTACGTTTTGTCAGCCAGTTGTGAATCCATATACTACATAAGCATGACTGACTGACTAAATAAATAAATAAATAAGCATATACCCACATATATTCTATGTCAGAGAAACAACACAATCTAATTTGGACGTACATGTACATAACAATGATTTGAGCTCTAAACCTGTATCTTGCTATTTAAGAAAGACACCATGCATAGTCTCAAAATGCATGTATTTTAACAACTGCATCATCTTGCAGAGAGTTAGGCTGTTTCTGTACCATATGGAATTTTATATCAGTGGAGTCCTAACACAAAATAATGAAAGATCACTATCGACTAACACTTGTGATAACTACAAGAAGCCACTGTTGAGTAGCAGAGTCTGGGGAACAAAGGTTGCCTTCAACTAAAAAGTTTTTGCAAAGTACACTGGTGTGGTTGGACTTTCGGTCTGATCCAACAAAGTTATGCTTCTGATTATAATTAATACTCTGGCATTGTATATAAGGAAGTGAAACCACACTGGCATTGAATAGCAATGAAATAAAAAAAAACCCTGGCCTAGTACTATTGTAAGAGTAGAGATGCAAATCCACACCTTTTGTAAACACCCGTGAGCTATTTTTACAAATCCCTTTTGTTTTTTAAACTGATCATGGGTGACAAAATCTTTGCTCTTTTTTTTCCTGGCATGAAGATTCTGATTATTGCTGACAGTTGTTTTCTTGAGCCCACTTAACTTTGGGTTTATCTTAGAACATTACAGCAAACCATTCAAGTCAGAACAACAACCCTTGAAATGGGTTGGGTTGAAAGAGAGTGACTGGCTCAAGATCACCCAGCTGGCTTTCAGGTCAAAGATGGGACTACAGCCACCTGTGTCTCCTACTTTCTAGCCTGGTGCCTTAATACTAACTAGACCAAACTGGCTTTTATATGAGATGAAATAGATGGAAAGCTCTTGATCCTTGATCTCTTTTCTTTTGTGTGATAATGGGACCATAATGGGAGGAGAAAAAGAAGTGTTAATCTGAAATTCCAGCAATAAAAACAGGTCCTAACTGCCTAGTTAAGGGCCTTTCCCCAGGGGTGGGATGCTACCGGTTCAGCCCAGTTCTATAGAACCTGTAGCTGCAAAGAGCAACTGATACCGAACTGGTTCGGTGTTTGGCCCACCCGCCTGCCTGGGTGTGCAGCACCGCTGAGGTTGATAAATGAGGATTTTCAAATGCTGCGCACCTGAGCGCAGTGCTTGTCAACTGTCCAGGTGGTACAGTGGATGATTTCTTGCAAACGCTGCACACATGATAGTCCCCAGTTTGGAGAACCGGCAAATCGCTCCACTGGCTGGTCCTCCCACTCCCCACCCACTCACTCCTTACCTGGCATGCAAGCCATCCAACTTGCCTGGTTTGGTAAGTTGCTATTTTTCCTCCCCTCTCCCCGACCGTCAGCTGTTCTGCTCTGCCGGGAGATTTAGATTATCTAGAAAGCAGGAAATCCTTGGGTTTTCTAGCTAATCTAAAAGCAGAGCCAAACCTTCCTTAGGACTGAAGCTTTTCAGTACAGACTCAGGTAGCCAATTGCAAATGGATAGATTTCTAAATTAATCTGTGATTCTGTGAGCAACTCAATCTGCCTGTCTGCTTTGTTTGCTTTGGGGTAAAAGTTGCTCTTTTTTAATTAAAAAAAATTCAATATTTACATACATGATGTCTGTTAGGAATAACAAGGTTACCTAACGTAGTTTGGGTAAAATAATATATATAAACTATGATAGTAAGTTTAAGTGTGTGTCACTTTAAACTGCAAAGCATGCAATTTTGGGTGCGATTGTGAAACCGCCATAAGAGGGAGCAAGAGAAGCTGACGATTGATGGTTTACTGGATTGATGGTTTGCTAACTGCGTGTTCCCTGCTGCTGAAGGAAGAAAGGAGGTTTGACTTCTTCATATCTCTACTGCGAGGAGATATATTACTGGACTGATATTTGTAAGTTTACTGACCTCTTTTTCGACACTGGACTTTGCAACTGAATAATCCCCGGACGGACTGAATTAGTGAATGATATATGGACTGTTTTGACTATGTTAAAACTATTACTGGAATAAACTATTTAACTAGCACAGTGTATCTGTTTTACTGAGTGTAAGCTACAAAAACGTTTATCTCACATATTTTGCCTGCCTGCCTGACTGCTGTGCAGATTCTGCTAGGGTGTATCCCTAACAGTGTCTTGTGAGTTAATTTTGTGTTTGTTTGCGAGCAAATTTTATGTGACAGATTCAGACAGCAGATTGCAGAAAGATAGATCTCTGAATGAATCTGTGTTTCTGTGAGCAACTCAATCTGCCTGTCTGCTTTGCCTGCTTTGGGGTAAAAGTTGCTCTTTTTTTATAAAAAAAAAATATTTACATAAATATTTATAATATTTACATACAAGCCATGCCCATCCAGTCACATGAGCATCAAGCCATGCCCAGTCAGTAAGCCACGCCTACCCATTCACATGACCACTGAGTCACACCCACAAATTAGGCCACACCCACAGAACCGGTTGTTAAGAAATTTGAATCCCATCCCTACCTTTCCCCCCCTGTACTTAAAAATCAATGTATTTACAAACATGTCTTTTCCCAAGCACCTCTTCCATAACTTTTAGTTATGCTATGAGTCCACAGCTTGCTCTGGACTCTGATCTAAGTGGAAAGGGGAAAAAAGTCAATGGAAGAAACAACCCAAGTTAAAGCTATATTTCCTTTTAGCATAGTGAAGTTGCTACCAAGATTTCTCAGTATTCTGAATGTTCATGCATTGCTCTTCTTATATATCATTTTCAATGAAAACCAGAAGTGATGTACAATAAAATGCAGTGACATCTACCAATTATAAGATGAAATACAGCTAATAAATTTGCAAGAGTCCTGATCATGAAGGAAGCAAATCATCTATTGAATTGTCACTAGATCTGTATCACAGGAGACCATCTCATCCCAGAAAGTACCACATTGGACCCACACCCAACTCACTTGTTCAACGAGCACCAGCAATAG